TCTGATGAGAGCCCCCACAATGACAAGGCGGCGTGTGCAACGGAATGAGAGACCCTACAGCAACTGAGCAATATGTGCAGTGTAATGAGAGACCCTACAGTATCACGGCAGTATGCGCCCTGCAAGGGGAGACCCTACAATAATAGAGCAGTGTAATGAGAGCCCCCACAATAACAAGGCGGTGTGTGCAATGGAATGAGAGACCCTACAGCAACTGAGCAATATGCGCCCTGCAAGGGGAGACCCTACAATATCACGGCAGTATGCGCCCTACAATAATAGAGCAGTGTAATGAGAGACCCTACAATAACAAGGCGGTGTGTGCAATGGAATGAGAGACCCTACAATAACTGAGCAGGGCAAGGAGAGACCCTACAATAACAAGCACGGACAGTGCCATCAGGGACACTACAATAAAGCAGCCGCGTGTACGGTGTATAAGAGTCCCTATAATAACAGAGCCGAGTAATGAGAGACCCTACAATAACAGCGGGGGAGCGGATCCCGGCCCGGGGACAGAGCGGCCGGAGCAGGGCCGGGGGCGGGCCCCGGCGGGAGGTGGATCCTGCGCAGCAGGTTGGGCGGCTTCCCTGGCTCCGGGCGCCGTGAAGAGGGGAGGGAGCGAGCGCCGCGTCCCAGTGTCCCAGCCAGTGCGGAGACAGCGCACCTGCCCGCCGCCCTCCGCTCAGCACCGCTCAGCACCGCCAGCCGGACCCCGCGCCGCCTGCCCAGGAGATGGGGGCGCCCCTGGGGGCGCTGCTCTGCCTCCTCCTCAGCCTGGGTGAGTGCAGGGGGGGCCGCTCGACCCCTGCCCCCACTTCCCCCCTTCTCTGGTTCCCCAAATCCCCCTTTTGCCTCTCCCCAAATTCCCCCTTCTCTGGTTCCCCAAATCCCCCTTTTGCCTCTCCCCAAATCCCCCCTTCTCTGGTTCCCCGAATCCCCCCTTCTCTGGTTCCCCAGATCCCCCTTCTGCCTCTCCCCAAATCCCCCCTTCTCTGGTTCCCCGAATCCCCCCTTCTCTGGTTCCCCAAATCCCCCTTCTGCCTCTCCCCGAATCCCCCCTTCTCTGGTTCCCCGAATCCCCCCTTCTCTGGTTCCCCAGATCCCCCTTCTGCCTCTCCCCAAATCCCCCCTTCTCTGGTTCCCCAAATCCCCCTTCTGCCTCTTCCCAAATCCCCTTTCCTCTGCTCCTTCCTTCTCCGAGTGCCCCTGTCTGTCCCAGTCGCCCAGCGCAGGATCCCAGCTTGCCCGCCCTGCGCGGAGCTGTGGGGCTGGGACCTGGCCAGGCCGGGCAGGGCTGGGTCTCGGAGCGCCCTTTGGTGCCCCAGGGCCATAGACGCTGGAACTAGGGGTGCTGCTTGTGCTGCCGCACCCCCTGGCTTCAAGTGGTTTCCATTATCTACAGGGTTCAATGGCTCACAGCACCCCCACTATACAAATTGTTGGGGGGGGCAATATGGGGCTGAAAATCACATGTGTGTAAGGGGGTTATGGGTGAGTGGGTCTGTGTAATGCAGTGTGTGTGGGGTGGGTGTTTGTGATGTATGTGGTCATGCAGTGTGGTGGTGGTGTTGTGTGTGTCTGTGTGATGCCTGCGTTGTGTGATCCATGTGTTGTAGGATGGGGTGGTGGGTGTTCCTGTGTGTGATGCACGCGTTGTGTTACAGGTGTCCGGTGACGCTGGTGTCCTGTTACAGGGCTGTGTGTGTGTCACGCAGGGTGTGTGTGCGTTGTGTGGTAGGTGTGATGTGATGGACACTGTCGCTTTGGAATTAGAGTGAAAAACACCTGCTGGTTTTTTCTGGCTTGTTCTTCAGTTGCTTGGTTTGAGGATTTGTACATTCCTGCAGGGCAGGTTTCCCTGGTCCCAGTTATCCAGATTTGGAGCAGGGACGGGGACGGTTAATCCTGATTTAGGAAGAGGTTTTGTCTGTCTGGAGAGGTTTGCATGAAATCCGAAGCCAGCGGGGCTCCTGAGGTCTGTTCCCAGCTGTTTGGAGGAAGTGATCTCTAATGGTTAGAGCAGGAGGGACTAACAGCCAGGACTCCTGGGTTCTGTTCCTAGCACTGGGAGGGGAGTGGGGCCTAGTGGGTTGGAGCAGAGGGATACAGATGTAAGGCCCCATTGCCAGACCTCCTGAGCCAGCCGGTCCCCTTTGTCTCCTTGTACAAACAGTATTTGGGAGACTGTGAAACTCCCTAAGGTTCACCTGAAACTCCCTGTAATCAGACACGGTGTGAAAGGCCCTGAAACCCAAAGCACTGCAGCAAATGGCCCATCAGCCCCTGGATTGTTGTGAGTCTTTGCTCAGCTTGGTCTGCAAGCTACAGACATGAACACCTGACCTCCCTCTTCCCCTCCCTCCCCCCCAGCAGCAAGCAATAGGGCTCTAGGTGGCTCACGGGAGCAGGGAATGGGACACGGGGACTTGCCCCGCTACAGTGACTCTGATCTGGCTGAGTCTGGGAGGCAGAGGATGGGACACGAGGCCTTTCTTCTCTAGGGGGCGCTGGCTCAGATCTGGCCCCAGGGAGGGGGAACTGGCTTGGGATGGGGAGCAGGGAATGGGAGATGTTCCCACGGCTGAGGTATGTGAGCAAGGCTCTGTGTGGGCTTGCCCGGCCCCTGTCCTAGGGTTGCACAGAGAACTCAGCCTCTGATCTGTCCCCATGGCCACCGCTAGGCTGTGGCTCCCTGGGGTAACGGCATAGAGCCTAGTCAATGTACAGCCTGTGGGTTGGGTTGGGTCGTGTCTAATGCTGGGCCGGGCTTCCACCGCCCCTGCTAGTGCCTCTGAAGCTGGCCCGGGCTCCTCTAGAGAAGGAAGTTATGTCCCTATGTCACGCCGAAGTAACCTGTCCCGCGGGTCTGGCTCTATATTTAGCCTCTCCGCTCAGGCTGGAGGAATGGTGGGCGGACAGACAACTACAAATAGCTACTGGCCCATGACTGGGTCCCAGGCTAATGCAGGTCACTTGAGGCGATACTGAATCAGAAGCGCTCTCTCTGTGGGGAGCAAAGGAGATGGGTGTATATGGCCCATCGAGCCCCTGGCTGAGGCTGGCTCTTGTGGGCCCCCCTGAGAACTGGGCTGAGATCTGGCAAATTCACTTCACACAGGCCACTGAACGGGACATCAGCTTGGGTGGTTTGAGAGCAATACGGATCCAAGCTAGCTCCTCCTAGAGGGTAAAGGGCCCGTGTCCCATTCCTCACCATCTTGAGGCACTCAGTCGCTCTGCCCTGGGGCTGGATCGGGCCATGTCCCGTTCCCCTGAGTCATGCAGAGCCTTGAGGAGTGAAACTCTGACAACTTGCCAACTTGCTGGAGAATCTGGAATGACGCTGGCAGACCAGGGCCCTTCCTCTGAACAGGGAGCAGTTCCCGGGAAAGGAGGTGGCGCAGGCTGGGAGACAGAGACAAGGCCAAAGGGAATAACCCTGCCAGGCTGCAGTGATGTGGCTGCCTTGGCCCAGGGTCTGGGCTGTATCACATAGGCTGGGCTGGGTAGGAGACAGCTCGGGGAAACCCAGGGGCCTTGGTGTTCCTGGCTCTGAAGGTGGGGCTCTTCCCTCTGTCTGACAGGACTCCTGGGTTCTAGCCCTGGTTCTGGGAAGGGAGAGGGGTCTCTGTAGGGATTAAAGCAGGGGGTGCTGGGAGTCAGGACTCCTGGATTCTAGCCTGGGCTCTGGAAGGGGAGTGACATTCAGTGGGTAGAGCTTAGCTATTACTTGATAGCTGTATCAGCATCTTTATTATTGCCTACTGAGTGGGCCCTATCCTGGAAATCTGACAATCTATTCCCCCAGCAGAAATGGAGGTGCCCCTTTCAAGCCCTCCCCCAATTACCCCTGAGATGCTTCATTTCAGTGGCCCCTGTGCTGATGCGTGTTGTCCTGGGATGCATTCCTGATTGTGCCTCTTTTTGTCCTCCTCTGAACAGGTGTACAGGAGACCTACGGACAATCAGGTAAAGATCTGGCTGGGAACGCGGCCCGTACGGGCAGCCTGACGGTCACTTTTCTCCTCCTGATCATTTTCCCCACAACCCCCCCCTTCAGTCATTTATTCAGCTAGTGTCATTTTCCTTGGTGGTTATTTGTGTAGCCAGGTGTCAGCATCAATAGGGGATATTTGTGTTCAGTATAACCAGCCCCCATAGTGATGGGAGGATTTGAGCCCACCATCTCCTGAGTTTAAGGCATGAGCTGCTACCAGTGGAGATAAGGGAGCAGCTCCCTTGACTTGCACCTATTGTAGGCTCATTAACCTCATATGTAAGCCAGCCACTAAGGGAATGACGGCGCCCCCCAGAGGGGAAAGGGAATGAACATCTATCCTCCCTGAGGGGTCAGGTCTACATTAAAAAGTTAGGTCAACCCAACAACCTCGCTCAGGGATGTGAAAAATCTACCCCCCGAGCGGCATATTTAAGCCGACCTAACCCCTGGTGTGGACAGCGCTGCGTCGACAGAAGAATTCTTTCATTGACCTAGCTGGCCTCTCGGGGAGGTGGATTAAGTACAGCGACGGGAGAGACTCTTCCATTGGTCTAGGTAGCGTCTACACCGCTGTAGCGTTTCAAGTGTAGACAAGCCCTTAGTCTGGGTTACGTTTGTGTTGGGAAGTTGTGTTGCAAATGGTCTCTCAAAACGTTTTGGATGGCAAAAATTGGGTTTTCAACCAAATTTCTCCTCCCACCCCGAAAGGTCTGTTCTCTACAGAAAATTTAGATGCTTTTGTGGAAAAGCTGAGCAACCTAAAACCAAAAACAACCAAAAATATGTTTTGGGCCTCATGGGTTTTGTCCCCAAATCTGAGAGAGGGGTGGGGTCTAACAGATTAGAGCAGGGAGTAGGGGGCAGGGTGGGGTGGGGTGGGGAGTCAGGACTCCTGGGTTCTAGCCCAGGCTCTAAGAGAGGAATGGGGTCTAATGGTTAGAGCGAGGGGCTGTTTCTGATTCACTCACTGCTGCTCTGCTCCCCTACAGGAACGTGTGGAAGTGCTATCATGGGCCGGATTGTGGGGGGCACAAATGCACAGGATGGGCAGTGGCCTTGGCAAGTCAGCCTGAATTTTCAGGGTGTTCATGTGTGTGGCGGCTCCCTCATTTCCCCCCAGTGGGTGATCACTGCAGCGCACTGCTTCCCACCGTAAGTACAGGGTCATCTGGGCTGGGCCAGGCTCTGAGAGTCACTTGGGGCGGGGGGTGGGGGTGGGAAACTGGACTAGTCAGGAGGCGTCTGTATCTTCCATCCCTTTCTGACCCTAAACCTGTTTGATTGGGTTTCTATGAACAGACTCCCAGCTGCCCCTACTCTAAACTGCTGGACCCCACTCCCCTACTAGAACCAGAGATAGAACCCAGGAGTCCTGACTCCCGCCCCCATCTCTAACCACCTAAACTCCAGTCCCAGAACGAGGATAGAACGAGAATCTAGGCGTTCTGATTCCTAGCCCCCTCCCCATAACCCACTAGACCTCACTGAGCTCCCCGAGCCAGGGAGAAATCCCAGGAGCCCTGATTCCCAGGCTCCCCCACTCTAACTCACTAAAGCCCATTCCCAATGTGTATGTGTACCACTACCCTCTACAGCATAGACTCTGCCGCCACATGGCGTGTGTCCTTGCCCCTACATTGCTGCTATCTAAGGGAGATTCCCCATTAGCTGAAGCTTTCTGCAGCCTGAGGTGCTGGCTTCTCTCCTTGCTGAGGTCCCACGTCTCTCTCCCCCACCTTACAGGGAAAACCCCATCGCCGGCTATGAGGTGACGCTGGGAGCCTTCCAGCTGACCAGCCCCTCAGCTGACATCAAGGTGGTTGGGGTGGAGCAGGCCATCAAGAACCCCGGCTACACGGATGAGGACTCCGGCGGGGACCTTGCGCTGGTGAAATTGAAAGAGTCCGTCACCTATACGCGTAGCATTCGCCCCATCTGCCTGCCGTCCGCTTCCGTCAGCTTCCCCAGCGGCATGACCTGCACTGTGACTGGCTGGGGGAATGTGCTTACCTCTGGTGAGTGAAGGGTTAATGCAGCCACCTCTGGGGCAAGGCAGCTGGGTAATGATGTCGCACATGGGGATGGCTCACCTGGCGCTGAGATGCAGCTGTGTCTGGGTTGGGGCAGCTGGATAACAGCTGCCAACAATTTTGGAGAGGAAGTGGAGGTGAGTTGTGTGTTCAGTTGAAACTGCAGGGAGGATTTTCGGGTGTGTACCAGTCCCTGAGCCTTGCTCTGGGATGTGGACTCACTTCAATCCCCCTTACTCCTAAGTCTGGCTTAGATCCTGGGCTGCTGTGGAGTGAGTCCCTTTGCCCATCCGCCCCCCCCCTCACCACAGCGCCCCCGGTGGCTCCCTTTCCCCCCACCTTACTGAGGAGTCAGCTGCCCACCCTGACTTGGCCGATTTCTTTTCCCCCATGCAGTCAGCCTGCCCAATCCCAAGACCCTGCAGCAGCTGGAGGTGCCAGTGATTGGGCTGGAGACCTGCCGCTGCCTCTACAAGATCAACCCCAACCCAGCGGATCCCCACGTGATCCAGGACGACATGATGTGTGCGGGCTACACTGAGGGCAAGAAGGACGCCTGCCAGGTGAGCGGGATGCTGGGCATCCATCTGTGCATGGCACTAAGGGTGGGGCTACTGGGAGTCAGTGCTGGGTACTATGAGCATTGGCCCAATGGTTGGGCTGTAGATTTTCCATCCCTTCTGGGCTTAGGTGCCACTCCTTGACCTTTGACCTCAAGGCCCCCACCCCCGCTCTGCCAGTCTCCACCCACCACGGCTAAGCTTTGTAGTAACCAGTCATTTGTATCCCACTTCTCCCACCAATCTCCCTCCTAATACCATTTCCCTCTCCCCACCCTGTTCTTCCAGGGTGACTCCGGGGGACCCCTCTCCTGCCGTGTGGGCAATGCCTGGCTGTTAGCTGGGGTGGTGAGCTGGGGGGACGCGTGCGGGTCCCCCAACCGGCCTGGCGTCTACACCCGCACCTCGGCCCACACAGCCTGGATTAAACAGATCATCCCGGCGGTGGAGATGAGCGACGTGCGCGTGAATCAGGAGCCAGTCTCGGAGGAGGGGCTGTGTCCCAACACCACCAGTCGGCCTGGCCCCTATGACGGCGTCCAGCCCCATCCCGACTGGCCCCGGCCAATCTCCCCCAACCAGCCGTCGGACCACGCTACCTCCCACATCCTCACTGCCAGCCTGCTGTTCTTCTGCCTGCTACTTCACGTACTCCCTGCCCTATAGCGCCCCTGCTCTCAAGGTCAGCGCAGCATGGGACCCCACCCCCGCTAAGGCAATCCAGGGGCGTCTTGCCCCCCTCCCAAACTCAGCAGGATGGTCCCAAGATTTCAAAGCCTTGGGTTTCCCGCCCCATCCCCTTATTGTTCCTGTTTGTTCCCTGCGTTGTGCTGCTCTGTCACGATCAGGGAATTGACGTGACTTCAGGGCACCGAGCTGGCAGCAGCCCTGTTCACGGCAACATCCTTTCTGCCTCCGGTACTGCAGACCCCTGAGTTCTGGCCAACAGGGTCCTGCAAACCTCTCCCAAGCCTCGCTCTGGGATCGAGGCTCACGCCAACCCCTGAGCCTCGCTCTGGGATCGAGGCTCACGCCAACGCCTGAGTCTCGCTCTGGGATCGAGGCTCACGCCAACCCCTGAGCCTCACTCTGGGATCGAGGCTCACGCCAGCCCCTGAGCCTCACTCTGGCACCCGGGGTCACGCCAACTTGTCCAGCCTCACTCTGACTCCCAGGGCCCCACTCTGTGAGAATCGGGGCCCTAGCGGTAGGCAGCTCCCCAACCCCTGTTCCCAGGCCCGGTTCTGTCACCATGACACCTCGTAGGGCAGCCTAACAAGCTCCCTATCTTCCTCTTCCCACCCTGATTTTTCCAGGGAGACTCCGGGGGACCCCTCTCCTGCCAAGTGGGTAGTGTCTGGCTGCTGGCCGGAGTGGTGAGCTGGGGGGAAGCATGTGGGGCCGCCAACCGGCCCGGAGTCTATACCCGTGCCTCGGCCCATGCTGCCTGGATCAAGGAGACCGTCCCAGAGGTGGAGCTGAGCGACGTGAGCGTGGATCTGGAGCCAGTCTCTGAGGAGGGGCTGTGCTCCAGGGCAGCTGCTCATCTCCTGGCCCCCTGGCTGCTCTGCTGGGCCTTTCTGAGCCTGGTCCAGGCAGGGTAACCCTACCCCCGCCAACTCCAAGTGTAGAGATGCAAGGCGGGAAGGGGATCTTGAGGGCACGGGATCCGCCACTGTGATCATAGCGACTTGGTGGCGGATACCCCAGTAGAACTGGATTTTGCCCCCTACTTCTCCTCCCCAGAAGGCTATTTTCAGGGTGTCTGCCCGGACAGCCCTTTGACTGTGGTTGTCCCCAAAGGATTCTGGGAGGAGGCAGATTGGCCCCAGAAGAGGGGTGCTCTGGGAAATGTTCCCCTCGTCCTTTTACCCACGTCACGCAGAAACAGCCGGGTTTCAGTCCCGGCATGAGTCAGGCCGACAGGATCTAATGTGACACGTCTGGCAGGAAGCTCTCGGCTCCTCAGAGTCAGCCGAACCCCCAGGGCTGGGCCGAGTGGCACCAGCACAGCTGGTTTTTCCACCTGGGGAGAGTCACTGAGTGAGGGCAGGTTCTAAAGGGATCGGAGTTCATCACACGTGCCCAGATGAGAGCTAGGGGCTGTTAGCACATGGGATTGTCTGCCTCCTCCCGCTTGTTCTAAGTCAGGGGTGGGGCATGGAAGAGCTGTTTGACTCCAGAGGGAGGGTTTAATAAAGAGGGTGTTAGCCCTGTATTATGGGAAAGGCTCGGTTATGTTTTTTTAAAGGTTTTGTGCTGTTCTAACCTCTAAACCTCACTCCCCTCCCAGAGCTGGGGCTAGAACCCAGGAATCCAAGCGCCCAGCCCCACCCCCCTCCCAGAGGCGGGGCTAGAAGCCAGGTGTCCTGACACCCAGAACTCAGTTATACGGGCCCTGCCCCACAAAGCGAAGGATGGGCCACATCTGGCTACACCTTGTTTTGCTGGCCAAGAGGTTGGGTGTTGGGAACAGTTAATCCAGGGCTGGGCAGTGCTAATACACCCGGTGAATCCGGGTTGGAGCTGGTCCAAGGAACCTGCTGGCAGGGTCAGGGAGAGGCGCCTCGGTGGGGAGGCACCTGCCCTGAGCTGGCTGGGTGCAGGGAGGTCTTAACTCTTAGGAGAGTGGCTGGGGCAGTGATGGGATGGCTGAATACAGCCTGGAATGAACTTCTGTGCTTCCCACTGGCCAGGATCCCTCTCCCCCAAGGGTGTTCTCCCCACACTGTGCACCTACCAGGATCCCCTCCCCCACCCCATGCGTTCTGCACCCCCCTGCCTGGGCAATCCTGCTCAAGTGTGCACCATACCCTCTGTGTGACCAGTCCCGGGCAGGCTTCCTGACCGCCACAGGTTGTGCAGACTTTTCCTTTTTATTTATGAAAAATACACGCTTCTTAAAACAGAAAAAATACACCTGTAGGCAGCGAGCAGGAGTGCAAGGAAGCCATGAGGACTGGCTTGGGGGCTGTCTGCACCAACCCTTCCCCCACGCTCCAGCCCCCTCGGCAACAACGCTTACTTGCACCTCCAGCTGGTGGAGCCAGCCTAGGGATTGGAGGAGCGTGAGAGCGGTGCTGAGGGAAGAGCCCTGAGACAGTATCTGCTGTGTATCCCTGGCCCAGGGCGCCCCACGCCTTCGGCCCTGGGGGAGACCCACACACCTCTGCCCCATGCAGCGCTTGGCTGCGGAATTGAGACCAGCCAAACTCAGCAGACATCCCCACGTCCCTGCTTTTCCTCCAGTCCCTTGCGGGGAGGCCAGGATGTCTGGAATAGGAGATCAGGGAGGGATCCCAGCAGTGGAGGTGGGAAAAGAGAACTGGGACAGGGCATGGGGAGCCCTGGATGGTGAGGGGAATCCTGGCCTAAGGAGTGCAGGCCAAAGGGGGGCAGGTCAGGGGGGAAGAACCCCAGCAGCAGGGTGGCAGCCGGGGCGTGAAAGGTTCCAGAGGGGACCCAGCTGAGATCCTAGTGGGGAGACGCCCACATGAAGGAGGCCCAGCAGAAGGGGCATCGTCATGGCCAGAATGGGCTCTACCTGCAGCAGCTGGGGCATGTCGGTGACGTGTGTGTGGGGTGGTAAGTCCGGGCTACGGTGTTCTGCCCCCCGCGCAGAGACCCCAGCTCAGGGAAGGAGGTGCACAGAGCCAGAGCTGATTGTAGGTTAGAAGGGAATCTCACTGCCTCTGGCCTGTTCCATGGCATGCGTGACGGATCCAGTCTCCCTGCGCAGCTATCCCAGGACCTTCCCCCAGTGCCGCTTCCCCATATTGCCAGCCATGGGGATCAGCTGGACAAGGAGTGTTTGCCCAGCAGAGAACACCCGATGCCATGCTGTCATGTTAACCCATTAGCACCCACGGGCATCTCTCCCCCCTTTCCTGCCAGCTCAGTAACTCCTCCTGCCCCAAACTCAGCTGCTGCTGCCCACCATAGCCTCTGAAGCAGCCTGCACCCCCCGACAAATTAGCCAGCCCACCAAGGTGATATTGACCGGCGTGCAGCACGCAACTGACTAGCTGGGCAGCAGACCCTGGCAGTGGTGTGGGGAACCCCCTTTTCTAGTGCTGTTAGGGAGGGCAAAACTCGGCTATGGGCCTATTCTGCCGTGCAACGCTCAAGGGGAATGAGATGCGACAGGACACCAGCCCTGCTGAATCGGCGCTGGCCTAATGAACGACACACAGCCGGCTGGGTCGCCCAGTCCTCCCAGCTGGACGTTTGCTCTGGTGCTCTATGGTCAGGCAGGGTGCAGCCCACATCCTCATGCAACTGAGGGGTCATTTGGAGTCCTGTATCCCACCGTTCCTTCACTTCTTGGAGATCTTGGCCTGCTTGTGTTTGGGGGGTGCCCACTTGAGACAGATGGAATCCACTGAGGAGGGAAAGAGGGGAGGGGGAAAGTTTGACAGAATCTAGGAACATCCCCACCCTCCATTGCTCTCAGACCAGAAGGGCCCAATCAGATCATCGTCTGACTCCCACTCTAGCACCGGCCAGAAACTCTCAGCCCGTTACCCCCGTGTCAAACCCAGCCACTAAAGCACCCTCAAGAAAAGCCCCCAGCGTGGACTGGAAGCCATTAAGGGAAAGACATTTCAGCATTGCCCTGAGGAGTTTATGGAGGGGATGGCATGACACGACTGCCTACAATGGCATGTAGCCGATCTGCGACTGCTAGCAGCAAATATCCCCAATGGCCGGTGACGGGACACTACATGGGGAGCTCTCTGATTTACTACAGAGAATTCTTTCTGCCTGGTGGGTCTCACCCACATGCTCAGGATCTAACGAATCATCATATTTGGGGTCGGGAAGGAATTTCCCCCCAGGTCAGATTGGCAGAGACCTGGAGGTTTTCACCTTCCTCTGCAGCATGGGGCACGGGTCACTTGCTGGTTTAAACTAGTGTCAATGGTGGATTCTGTGTCACTTGAAGTCTTTAAACCCCAATTTGAAGACATCAGTAACTCAGCCAGAGGTTAGGGGACAATTACAGGAGTGGGTGGGCGAGGTCCTGTGGCCTGCGATTTGCAGGTCAGACTAGATCAGGATGGTCCCTTCCGCCTTCAAGTCTGTAAGTTTGTTCCAAGGGCTGATACCTGCACTGTTAAAAACTGGTTCCTTATTTCTAATTGGAATGTGTCTGGTTTTAACTCGCAGCCCTTGGTTCTTGTTCTGCCTTTCTCCACTAGATTAATGAGCCCGTAAGCCTCTGGCATTTTCTCCCCCGGGAGGTACTTTTACACCAGGATCAAGTCACCGCTCAGTCTTCTTTTGATCATAGAATATCAGGGTTGGAAGGGACCTCAGGAGGTCATCTAGTCCAACCCCCTGCTCAAAGCAGGACTAATCCCCAACTAAGTCATTCCAGCCAGGGCTTTGTCAAGCCTGACCTTAAAAACCTCTAAGGAAGGAGATTCCACCACCTCCCTAGGTAACCCATTCCAGAGCTTCACCACCCTCCTAGTGAAAAAGTTTTTCCTAATATCCAACCTAAACCTCCCCCACTGCAACTTGAGACCATTGCTCCTTGTTCTGTCATCTGCTACCACTGAGAACAGCCGAGCTCCATCCTCTTTGGAACCCCCTTTCAGGTAGTTGAAAGCAGCTATCAAATCCCCCCTCATTCTTCTCTTCTGCAGACTAAACAAGCCCAGTTCCCTCAGCTTCTCCTCATAAGTCATGTGCTCCAGCCCCCTAATCATTTTCGTTGCCCTCCGCTGGACTCTTTCCAATTTTTCCACATCCTTCTTGTAGTGTGGGGCCCAAAACTGGACACAGTACTCCAGATGAGCCTCACCAATGCCAAATAGAGGGGAATGATCACGTCCCTCCATCTGCTGGCAATGCCCCTACTTATACAGCCCAAAATGCCGTTAGCCTTCTTGGCAACAAGGGCACAGTCGACTCATATCCAGCTTCTCGTCCACTGTAACCCCTAGGTCCTTTTCTGCAGAACTGCTGCCTAGCCATTCAGTCCCTAGTCTTTAGCAGTGCATGGGATTCTTCCATCCTAAGTGCAGGACTCTGCACTTGTCCTTGTTGAACCTCATCAGATTTCTTTTGGCCCAATCCTCTAATTTGTCCAGGTCCCTCTGTATCCTATCCCTACCCTCCAGCGTATCTACCACTCCTCCCAGTTTAGTGTCATCTGCAAACTTGCTGATGGTGCAATCCAAGCTCCTTATGTCTCTCACTTTCTCCACCCCTCCAATCATTTTTTGGCTCTTTAAAGACTGCTACAGGGAAGTGCTGGACTCTCATTAAGGCTGCTGTATAAATGCACTTCAAGTAGAAGTTTATTCCGGTGATTTTATAAAGAACCCCCGCAATATTCTCTATATAAACCCTCAACCAGTTACTGCAGGGAAGCAGATTGCACCCGTGGGAAAGCAGTCTGTGTTGGAACAGAGGAAACGCACCCAGAGCGGAGCTCTGGGGTCAGGCAGCTGGGTAACAGCAACACTGCAGGGGCATGGTTCACCCGGCACTGAAATGCAGCCAGCTCTGGCATGGCAGCTGTTTAACATCCGCTCAGCAACACTTCAATGGCATTAGAGGATTCCAGGGTAATCAGTGTCTCCCGTCCAGTTTCCAAGCCAAATTCATCCTCTTCTTCCCCCTTCAATCCCACCTTGTAATTTCAAGCCCAGAGGTAGCTGGGTGAGCTGTGCAGCGTTGCTGTTAGCCAGCACGTCCCACCCCAGAGCAGTCGCATTTCAGTGACGGGTGTGCGATCCCTGCATTTGCAGCCGGTGGAGAGCTTGGAGCTTTCCCTGGGAGAGAGGGAAGCAGGGAGCTGGCTCGCTGAGAGTGCCCCTTTCCCAGCCTCTGGTTACATAACCCGATGCGCCCGTCACCTGCCCTTGGGAAAACAATGTCCTGCTTCAGAGAAACCAGAAACCTGAACGCAGCCAAGGAATGTTCAATGGGGTGTGTATACGCCGGCCTCTAACAGGGCCGTATTGTCTTTGGGCTTAATGCTGCTTCGCTGCTCTCTGGGTCTACGCAAGCCGAGTAGAAACACACCAGGGACCTCAACAGCCTTTGCAAATGGGGCAATGTTCCCTCCAGGGGAAAGGCCCTGTGTCCCATTCCCCACCCCCAAGAGCCAACCAGTCCCCCCAAGCTTGGGGCCGCATCAGAGCTGGTGCCCCCTAGTGGTGGAAGGCTCCGTGTCCCATTTCCCAGCCAGTCCCCCGCCCTCGGGCGGGATCAGAGTAGGGTGACCAGATGTCCCGATTTTATAGGGAC